TTGATTATTCATCCCCTCCTTGTCTGGGATATTCTCACAAGAAGATTTGCTCTACACGTACTAAGATTCTTAGAAGGCCTATTTATGTACAGAGACCTTATCATCCTCTGGTTCGTTGCATAGTGGCTTCCTTATTATCCACTAACTGGTAATGATCATCATCATTTTCTTATGAAAAATTTGAAAATTTATCAAAGTTGATTAAGCCCAACTGGATAAAATTTGCCCCAAAAGCCAAAAAACAGTTCTAGTTCAGATCTCATAATTTCTGGACCCATGTTCTAGATTCGTAGTGAATATTCTTTCTATAACACATATATCTTGATACCTGTTCATAGGTACACATATTTGATTATATGATCCATCTCAATGCACTCCCACCAGATGTGAACCATGGTTACTAGGATTTCCAACCAAGGGGTCAATTTCTCTCTATAATATCGCTCTTATGCTCCAGGTAATGGAACCTTGTTTCTCTGATTTTTAAACTTTGGAATCTCGATTTTTTTTCTCTCAAAAAAAAAAAAAATCTTGATCCTTCCTATTAGGGTTCTAGATACTGAGTGGGGTCTAGATTCGCTGGCATTTTTGTATGTTCTAGCTATATGGTATGGTTTCCCGGTGTGGGATAGTATAGTAGTTTAGTAAAGCAGATAGCAGTATAGTATAGTTTAACTGTGTTGTATGGTATAGTATATTGTATATATAGCATAGTAGTATACACTATACTATTGCGTATTTTATATATTTGTGTTTAGTAAATTTAGATATTATAGCATATAGTATAGTAGGATAGTATAGCAATATATTATTGTATAGCAGTGTATTGTAATATAGTACAACAATATATTATTGTATAGTAGTACATACTATTATACTAAATATAGAATAGTATAGTAAGATATTTTATATAGCATAGTATTGTAATATTGTATAATGGCATATTATTGTACAACAATGTGGTGTAGTATAGTATATACTAGTATACTGATTAAGTTGCGCACTTAGGGGCCTTACTTTAACCAGAAGACCCCGATCCCGTATAATTTGCATTCGATACCGAATTAATTTTAGATTGATTTTGCCCACCTGTTAGGATCAGTATTTCAAAAAGCGCTAGGTGGCACTTAGGCGGTCGTGGGGGTCCAGGCCGCCCAGCGTCTAGGCGGGTGCCCATAACCTGGGCGGCCCAGTTGAAAGAAATTGAGGAATTGAGGAGAAATAATCCATATTTAATATTTCCATGAATGAGGAATTGAGGAGAAGTCGAGAGGAGAGTTTTGATAATCCATAAGACTTATTCTTATACAATGCTAAAACAGTAAAACTATACAAGCATATACTGATAGTCTGATACACACAAAAGCTAGATAGTAGAAACTAGAAAGTAGAAACTAAAAATAAGAAAAAGAAAATATACAAAAATTCGTAAATATACAGTCTAGGACACAATAGTCAACTCTCAACAATTAACACCCAGAGTTAAGCACTCAAGTGTCTTCAACTCTTCATTCTTCAGTCATCGTCATCATCATCATCATCTGAAGGAGTAGGGTAAGCCTCATCATATGCATCAGATTTGAGGCCATCATCATCAGAGTCATTTCTCACTTCAACATAACGCTCGTCCTCTGAATCTGCCTCTTCCTCCTCTTCTTCTACCTCTCTCTTACTATGTGCAGATGAGGCCTTAGGAGTCTTGGCTGTTCTACCATTTTTTGTCTTTTTGTGCTTCCCTAAACTCAAATATGGTATAATCTCCTCTCTGGTAGTCTCAGGAACATTTTTACGCGGGGCAACATCCCCTTTAATACCGGCAAGGTGTTTTTTGAACCAGTAAATACCCCCATTAGTATCCTTTCCACAATAATTACATTTAATACGATTTTTGTCATTTAGATTCAGATTATAACTATACTTCCAACCCGGATCACTACTTCTAAAAGAACCTGGAGAAGATATTTCCATAGAACAAGGATCATTTTTATCCTTTTCTGGTTCTTCTAAATTCAGATATTGTCTAATCTCATCTCGAATAGTTTGAGGAACCTTTTTATAAGAAGCCACATTCCCTTTAATACCGGCTAGGTGTTTCTTGAATCGGTTAATACTTCCATTGGTATCTTTTTCACAAAAATTATACCTTATACAATTTTAATCGTTTGGTTTCGGGTTATGACCTTACTTCCAACCCGGATCACTTCTTCTAGTAGAACAAAAAATAGACCCATTCAAATGACAAGGATTTTGTTCCTGTTTTTGTTTTACATAACTCATATATTGCTTAATCTTCTCTCTGATAGCTTCAGGAACATTTTTACAAGGGGCAACATCGCCCTTAATACCGGCAAGATGTTTTTTAAACCGGTTTATGCCCCATTTTGTATCTTTTTCATAATAATTGCATCTTATACAATTTTTGTCATTCGGATTTGGGTTATAACCATATTTCCAACCCAGATCTCCATTTCGACTAGATACAGAAGAAGACATCTTAAAATAAAACAAGCAATCTAAAAAATAAAGTTTTGCACTTGCTTTAATTGCTCGAACTCCAACTTCCACCTCTGAGATGTTTTCTGTTGCTAAAATATTAAAAAACACCCTCTAATAGGATTAAAAAATTTCAAAACTTCAAAACTTTGAGAAACACTTCGATCCAATAAAAATCTCAAAATCTAGTGTTTTTGAGGTTTCTCTCGCAAAAATGGGTTCTTGTGGGTTTAGGTTTCAAATAAATGTAAAAACCATCCTTAAAAGTATTAATTTTTTTTAAAAACTCAATACAACCTTAAAAAAAAAATACATTTCCTTCCTTGGGCGGCCGCCCAGGGTTGGGCGTTGGGTGCCTGCCCAGTGGCCACAGCCTAGTTTTGACGCCTAGGCTTGGGCGATGCGCCCCAGGCCTTCTGGACCGCCTAGGCGGCCACCTAGACATTGGGCGGTCCGCATTTTGAAGCAGTGGTTAGGATCAAAATCCCTGGATTGCAAGGTTTATGGACCGTGATCCCTACTATAGAGAGCTTCTTGCTGGTCATACTCCTATAGTCCGGATCCCAATTCTAGATCTGATTCGATCCTTATCCTAGTAACTATGATAGCAATCGGTGGCCTCTTCATCTATGATCCTATTTTATGGCCTAGTAATTCTTGCTTTACTTGAAGACATATGTGATATTATGTCTTTGACACTTAGGGCTACTGGATTCTCTCAAATTTTCTTAAGTCAAAATAGGCTATGTATCAAAGTGCATAAGCCTTAGATATTTTGGGTCTGGATTAAGGGCTGGGCAGAATATTATATATATATAAATTTTTAACATCTTTTACAGGAAGGAGTTCTCAATTTTGGATTTCAAGTCCTCTCACAGAAGAAATAAATTAAAGCAATTCCTACCTTTAATTAGGGGAATGTAAGAGAAACCCAATAAACACTAGGCACCCAAAGGGTCACGTCACCATCTCGAAGTGGCTCTTCCCCTCACAAAGTACATTGCTATAAATATCTGATTGTGAAGATGTGCACATTCGGTGCCCATAATAGTCTTCATTGGGTTTCTCTACCATTTCCCCTAAAATTTATGTCCTTACTACTGGGCAGTTTTGTGTCTTTTGACTTCGAAGAGTTCTCTAATGAAAAATCAGTTATCTAGATGTATCTTTTGAAACGTATGTCCCACATTTATTCTCCACTCAAAGAAAAGCCATTTTAGTTTGTGTTCCATGAGGTGCTTTCATCTCTATACTATATAGTTAGTAGCACTTAAAAAAAATTATTCTGCATTGTCAATATAGAAAGTTGCCTGAAGATGGGGATGGTATAACGTCTGACATATTCACATGAGCCATGTCCTAGAACTGTTGGTCAACTATGAACTATTGCAATTTAATTGTTAGAAGCAAGCAATGAAGAGGCATTTACTGTTTGAAGCACCACCTTTCAAGATCCAATATAAACACATCCTTTTAAATATCAATATTATATACCCAAGGAAGTTTTAGTTCCTAACTTATTCAACTTAAAGAATAAGTTCTCTTACATCTAATTTGAAATGATCTGCTTACAGAATTTTCAAGTTATTGCTATCTTGCAGCACTTTTGGAAATTGATCATATTCGAGATTGGTTTATGTTTGTGATGTATATGTTATGATGTCATTAAAAACGTGATCTACTGAAGTTTGATTTTATTTTATGAATGTTTTCATCAAAAAAATTTGTTTTGAGTGTGATTTATCAATAGTCTTAACCTTTTATCACAGTTTCTGTAATTTTTTATTTTTCATTTTTTGATTAATCAATCTGTTGCCTTTTTGCTTCAAATGCCTGTTGTTAAGCAATAAGCACTATAAAATATTATCAAACATAATTCAAAATGATACCACTAGAATCTTATCAAAACTTGCAAAAATGAAGGAAAATGGAAAGGGAAAATGCTGGCATAGGCCCACTAGCTCACAGCTACATATGAGCCCAACGGTCCGGATTCAATATGGGCCAATCCAATGATCACGAATACATTTCGTAATTTAATTTTAATTTTTTTCTATAAATCCAAATCACTTGAAATTTTGGGCGTGTGTTTTTTAAAAATAGGAGAATCTAATAAAAAATATAAAAACATTCATTTGCAAAAAATAAATTGGCCAAAATACCCCTGAAAGTTTTCAAGGGTATGTTTTGTTAATGTATATTTTAAGAATTTTTTTTTAAAATATTTTTATTTGGTGCGTTTTGATGAGAAGAATAGACTCCTAAAATTTCATGTGTTTTGGATTTGTAGAAAAAATATTAAAATTAAAATACGAAATGAGGTCGTGACTGTTAGATCGGCTTTGATTGAATCTTGGCCATTGAGCTCATAAGTATAAGCTAATGGGCTTATGACAGCATTTCCCAATGGCAAGTATGATGGATTGCACAATGTTTTATGTAGTTTCTTTTCCTAAAAGGGTCCATCAACCATTATTGAGATATATTCTATCCCTCCATATGTTCAGCTTGTTCGTCAGCCAACATGAACCTATATAATGATAGTCTTCTTGTGCCAAATGGGGGCTATGCATTGACAGCTGGTAATTGCATCTTTTGTAGTTGCGGACCAAGAAATTTAAGGTAAGAATAATAACTATTCATTTCAGCTTTGGGGTTGATCCATATTCCTAGTTTAATTGTTATGTTTTTCACATGTATGATATAAATCAGTCTTCACTGTGTACCATCTGCTCTATCTGCCTCGTGCCCGAATCTTCAATGCAAGGGGAACAATCTTTTTATCGGAGATGTAGAAGAGGAGCTAATGGGAACTGGCTGTAATGTGACGACATGTTTATATCGTGGTTATGTCAACCACAAGGTTCTTAGCAGGTAAAACATTATAGGGAGACACATACTGTATACAAATAAGAGTCCAAAATTAAAATCTATTTTTCACTATAAGAAAAGTGGGACTTGCATGTAAAGTATAAAATATATGGGATTATTTTCAGATTTCGAAAATAAGAAGGGATTTGTCTGTCGATTTCCCTTCTCTTTTTAAAGTTATCATTCGTGTGTGATCACTTCTAGAGGGGTATGCATTCATAATTTGCTATTTAGCCCACATTTTTTGCTATTTCCATCAAACATGTGGAGAAAAACCACAGGCTTCTAGAACTTCAGCCATGTTTGGGTGGGACTACTGAATATGTGGCTTCAAATAGCAATCTGACCAAACATAAAGAAAAGGTAAAACACACCCAAAATAACCAAAAACTAAAATAAAATTATGTCAGCATTTTATCTTTCAACAGTGAACTATGTAACATATGGTATTTGTTTATGACAAATATTGGAGAACTGAATAAACTTTTGAATTATAATGCATATTATTTTCTTATGAAAAGAATTTGGAGAATTGATTAAAATCTTGACTGGTGGCAGTTTGTCAAACACTTATCGAGCCCAATGTACCAGTAACCATAGTAATCCTTTGTCGCCATCCTTACCTCCAAGTTCAATTGGCATTCCATCAGTGCATGTGCTTCCTTCGCTTGCACCAGCTGCTGCTGCTCCATTTGCAGGGCATGGTTTTGGTTCGGGGCCAACAGCTGTTCAAATTGCTAGCTCTGCTACTGTGTCTACTAGGACATCTAACTCTGCTCCTTTTATTCTCGTTTTTCTTTTGGCATTAATGCTTGTGTTTATTCCTTTTGACCCAAATGTATATTCATGAAGGTTTTCATTTTTGTTCCGTGCAAGTCATTCTTTTTGGTAGTTATTTCGCCATGATTACTTTAAGTATACTAATTGAGCTAGACACACAGGTTGCCCTGCAAATGTTAGAAATGGGAGGTCTCACTAATCTTTGATGAAAGGTTCCTTGGTCCATATTCAGTCTGTTATTGCTCGAAGTCTTGGTCCATATTCAGTCAGTTATTGCTGGATGTCCTTTCATGCGTGTTTCTTTCCATGTTTACTAATGGCGTGCTTCTGGCTAGTTAGGTTTGGGAATGGGACCTAGCTAATCCTATCGTTCTTTATATTCATCTCCCTTTTTTTCCATTTCTTGTTTTTTTTTCCCGAGAATGCCTCAATGTGGGGGTGATAATGACTTTCGATTGAAGTACAGAAGAATCTTTTTATTGTGACTTTTGCAGTTTCAAGGTCCCGAAGTCCCATTAACTTTGGACCTAAGGTTTGAAGTCAAGTCACAAAGTATGACTTCAAACTTTGAAGGTCCAAGTGCTATATGGAGTTCAATGACTGAACTGGGGGCTTTTGGAAAAAGATAACAAAATAAGAAGAAAAAAAGGATTGACATAGGATACAAAAGAGAAAAATATCATTCTGACCCCTACAAATTGCACATATTTCAATCTCCCATCTTTTATCTTTTATTAAGCAACCTTAAGAAGTTTATAAATATTTCGTTCCGCCCTCCCAAATGTCTATACCATCTTATTTTATTTTATTTTTAATCCTCTTTAAGTGCCCCCCACTAATTCTCAAATGATAGTCATTTCTCTTACTTCATTTTTTTTTTCTTTTTCGAGACCCATAAATCTAACTCTTTGTGCCCCTCTTATCTCTTTGCATGGCCTCCGGTAGCAGCGTGGAGTACGTTGGTGGTTGGTGGTGATTCATGTGTTTCTGTGATTCATCAAAATATAAAGATATATGGATTTTGAAAAATAAAAAGTAAAGAACGAAGAAAACGTGACACTTAATGAGAGATGCGGGTAGAATAAAATATTGTTAAACTTATTAGTGCCCCTTGCTAGGAATAAAAGATAGTGGGCTACATTGAAATAAGTGAGATTTATAAGGGTCATAACGATATTTTCCTTAAAAAATTAGGAGAATCTATTGTAGCGGATATTCAAGTGAACATGAGCAGAAATTTCAAAAAAAAGAAAAAGAAAAAAAAAGTTAACATGAGCCGAAAATTAAAAAAAAATAAAAATAAAAAGTGCCCATCAATCCGTTAGGACAAGTTTCATGACATGTGTCGATGCGGTTCATACTGCAGATATTATGGTTGTATATGCAGGGGCTCTTTTCCTTGATATGCAGGTTCATCTTGAGCTGAAGTTTACTACAGTAAACCCGTCATACTCGGGATGGGGAAAACTTTGTTAGAAACATATTTTCCACCGTCCCCATTAAGGTGGAACTTGGCAATAACGTGTCAAGCTGCGTCCAAAGTGGCCCTTGAACTAGGCAATAACATGTCATATGTTTGGTTCGAGGTATTTTAGCAAATTGTGATTGGGACCACGAAAGTTGTTTTTTAGGGCAGGAGCTCTTCGCGAGATGTTAACAGCTTTTATATTATTTTTTTAGAAATTTATGCTAATATCCCCTGAAACTAGCATTATTAAAAAAGTCGGCCCCAATTTTTTTATTTTATTTTATGTGTTTTTTGTTTGTTTTTTTGTTTCTAAATTTTCTAAAGTGACAAAACCATTAATGACTTTGCATTTTGAAGATTCAAAATTAGTCTCCTATATACAAAGTCAAATACGATTTAGGATCTTCAAAACCCAAATCATATTTGACTTTGGACCTTGAAAAGTTGAAGTCACATTTGACTTTGAATTTTGAAGGCACATTTGACATTTTACATACGGGACCATATATTCAAGATATGAGTAAAAAATGATTTCAGCTATTCAAGATCTTAAGTCACATTTCACTTTGTGTATATGGTCCAAACTTTGGAGCTTCAAGATGCAAATTCACAAAATGGTTTTGTAACTTCAGATCTTGAAGATCTGAAAGATCCGAAATGATTATATTTTTTAAATAAAAACAAGATAAGTGCGTAAAATTGAAAAATTGGAAAGAATTTTTTAATAGCGCTAATTTGGGGATACTAGCATAAATTTCTCTTTCTTTAAAATATATTAGAAGCAACTAAAAGCTTAGAGAAATAAATTTCAACACAATGCTATTACTTTGGTTGCCTTAACTTGTGCCTATTATATAAGCTTCACACAACAGTTAATAAACCACCTCTATGGACCCACTTCCTATTCTCAATCAACTACCATTAATCTCTAAAATCTACCCCACAAAATAATGTGAATAACTTCCTACCATTAATCTCTAAAATCTACCCCACAAAATAGGGAAAGGTTTCTATGCTTCCCCTCATAAAATAGGGAAAGGTTTCTATGCTTTCCCTACAATATAGAAGTTTTATCCTCCCCCTACCATCCAGCCGTCCAATTTTGATCAAGAGAGTCACTCACCGTTTGATCTTAGATCCGATGTCTCAAAGTATTTTATTTTTTAGTTTTTTTATACAAATTGTATGAATATGAAATTTTGTACGTTCCATCTTCTCATTACGGCGCACCTATAAAAAATATTAAAAATAATTTTTCGATGAAATATAATGCCCAAAATACACTTTAAAATTTTCAGGGGTAGTTTGATCATTTTGTTTTATTGAAAATATTTTTTTATATTTTTCATTAGTGCGAGTTTAATAGAGGAATGGACATCCAAAATTTGGTGTCAAAATAATGTATAGAAAAATATTAAAAATAAAATAGTGTATAGACGTGACATTGTGATTGGAGCAATCTTAGCCCTCCATTTAGAATGGACGGTTAGATAAGGAGGAGGATAGAACTCTATGCTGTAGGGGAAGCATAGAAAGCTTGCCCCACAAAATAATGTGAATAACTTCCGGTTGGTAATAAGTACCCACTTACGTTTAGTGAGAGAAAATAGTGGTTAACTATTATTATTTGTTTAACATTACCAAAGAATTCCTATTAAAAAAAAGAAACAAATTACAAAATATAGACGAAGTCAATGGAAGGAAGTTATCACCAGTGAAGATTGGTGTACTCCTCCTTTTGCTAGACAATCAGCCTCGACATTAGATTCCCTATAATAGTGATGGATTTCAGCAGTTATACTTTTGAGAATATCCCATATCTCATGAAAAATTACAGGCAACCTCCACAGTACATTAGCTTTGCTTTTACTCCAAGCTATAATATTTACTGAATCCCCTTCTATGATCTTCTCTCCCTCAATTCTTGATAAGAGTTTAATGCCTTCCAAAAGGCCTCTAGCTTCAACTTTATTAATTGTAGTGACAACATAAGGGCCAGAATATGAATAAATAATATGCCCCATATGTTATCTTATCAATCCACCAAAACCAGTTGCACTTGAGTTTCCAAAATAGCTTCCATCAAAAGTTAATTTGTGTGCATTAGGAGGTGGTGGCATGACTTAACTAATAAAGATAACTTTGAGAGAGAGAGCGTAAGATAACTGCTAACCCATTTAGAAGAAGAATATGAATAGCCACTAAGAGAGATACACGGTTATACATGTTTGAACACGATTCACCACATACAAATACTTATTGGCTTCTACAATTTTGAAGCCAATAAGTATAAATGAGAGTGCGCGAGAAACCATGACTAGCTTGATCTTTTTTGGGGGCAATACATCTCAATCAGGCCTTCTCACACAATGTCTCCATTGAAATGATGTTTTGATTTTGATATGCTTCGTTTGTCCATGGAATATTGGATTTTTTGTCACGATGGCGTTTATTTAGTTTAGTAGAAAATTTTAGTCACCTTATTGTGATCTTCACAAAGATCTACTAATAATCTCCTCATCCATATTCTTATGCAGTTGATCAGGCAGCAATGTACTTAACCTTTTATAACAATATTGTAATTTTTTGTTTCTTTGATGGCCATGAAATAGCTCTAGAGCCAAGATTGGAAACACAACCAAAAGTGCTTCGCTTGTCATCTAAAAACCTGCCGACCACACTCAATATCATCCATTCATTCCAAATTAGAAACATGAATATAGCAGCCATATATGGATGTTCCACGAATGTAGTGCAAAATTCACTTAGCTATCCCCATATGATGGTTGGTGGTATTGTGCATAAACCTTGATAGAAGACTTATATGAAACACTATATCAGTTTTTTTGTGGGTTTACATGTTTATAGTGCAATTTTAGAGATTTTCGAATGAAATTTTACATATATGAATATAAACTAGTTAATAAAAAACAGTAGAGGAGTATGGGGAGTTACTCAAATTATGACCTAGGAGTTGATCTATTTGAGTGAACAGATTTTCCCTTAGATCATTGTCAGCACCGACATGATCTCTACACCAAAATACTTAAGAGAATGTTAAAATCAAGATCTAACCGAGAATAATTAAGAGAAAAGAAAATAGAAACTTATCTAGTCGGGCTAGTTAGCCCGGGATCCCCGAAGCTTGAAGCTTCACTCGTATCAAGGTCGCACCTATGTTTACACCATTTGTTCTCTTTAGAACTAACGAAGCTTTAACTTTGGATGAAATAGGACTATTAGGCTTCTAAGTTAGGGTTTTCCTAGATCTAATATTTGAAAGCTGAAATATAGGTTTTGCTAATGGGATTCATGGTTCTTCTCTCTCCTAAATTTTTAAGTATCTCATTTCACTCATTAATGCCTAAACTAAGTGGGAGCCTAATTGACTTAAGTGACCAAAGCTCAAGAGGTCGGACTTTGGTTCTTTTATAGACCTTTGATTGGCTAGAAAGAGGTTCGGGATGCTTATCCAGTCGGTTTAACTAAAAATTTAAAATTCTGGCGGTCAAAGGCTTAGATGTCTCATTGGGGTTTAGACGATGATCCAGACAACACGAAATGTGTCGTCCAAGCTCAATGTATATAGACACAAAATCCTGACACTAAATGATACATAAGACACTTCATCTGGGTCATCGAT